AGGCCAGCCTTGTCTCCAGAGTGAGTTCCAAGACAGCCAGGGCTATGTGGAGAGACCCTGTCTCAAAAAACAGGACAAAACAAAATCAAACAAACACATAATAATTCATAGGAGGCAGAGACAGGCAGATCTCTGTGAGTTCCAGATCAGCCAAGGCTACATAGGGGAACTTTGTCTAAAAACAATCAAACGGTGTGTGTGGGGTGTGTGTGTGTGTGGGGGGGGGGGAACTAAAACAAAAAACCTGATTTAATTGTAAGGAAAATGACAAGTTATGAATTTTGTGGTACAATTATACAATGATGCAGCTCTTTTTGCCTGTACTGCATAATTATCATGCTCTGTAGTTCCGTAGCTAAGACCTAAGGCCTTGCACATATAAAGCATATGTTCTACTGTAGAGCTACACCCCCAGGCCTGTATCATGCCATTTATGCCTGGCATGATGGAGAACACCTTTAATCCCAGCACAGGAGGCAGAAGCAGGTGGATCTCTGTGAGTTCAAAGCCAGCCTGGTCTACATAATGAGCTCTAGGCTACACAGTGAGACTCTGCCTTAAAATAATTAATGAATTAATTAATTTCAAACCTGTCTTAGTAGTTTCTATTGCTGTGATAAACTACCATGACCAAATGCAACTCGGGGAGGAAAGGGTTCATATTTCAGCTTACAGTTTCACACTACAGTCCACTATCCAAGGAAGTCAGTGTGGGCACTGGAGGCAGGAACCTGGAGGCAGGAACTTCTGCAGAGACTGGTGGAACTTTGCTTACTGGCTTGCTCCTCGTGGCTCAGTTTGCTTTCTTATACCACCCAGGACCACCTGCCCGGGGTGACACTATCCACAGCAGGATGGGCCCTTCCACATCAATCATTAATCAAGGAAAAGCCCAAGAGGCTTGTAAACAGACCAATCTAGTGTAAATAGGGAAATCCCTATAAACAGGGAATCTAGTTTTTTCAACTGAGATTCCCTGTTCTCAAACGACTCTAGCCCATATCAAGACAAAAAAAAGTAACCAAGACAAAAATCTTATCAAGAGGCCATTTGAGGGATTAGCTATTTCTTTTTTTTTTTTTCAAAAGAAACAGATTTGATTTTATTATTTTGAAATTATGTGCATATGTGTAGGTATGTGTACCTGAGTGCAGGAACCCGCAGAGCCCAGAAAAGGGCCCTGGATCCCCTGGAGCTGGAGTTACAGGTGGATGTGAATGACCTGATGCAGGTGCTGGGAACCGTTCTCTGCAAGAAGCATGCATGCCCTTAACCTCCGAGCCATCACTCCAGCCCTATGGGTTAGCTATTTCCAAAAGAACACTGACACTGAACACATTATTGTCATAATGGAATATGAAGTCAAGTGGTCATCTGGGAATCAGCTTCACTGTATTTGCATAATCTCCCCTTCCCGGAATTACAAGCACCCCTCGGCTTCCCTCAGCCTGGGTACATGCATTCAAATCTACTACAGCTGAATTTGACTAATGACGGTACCAATAACACCTGGTGAGAACTTATTTCAAACTCAGAAAATCTGAGTAGCACTGAGAATTGACACTCCCTGCAGTAAACACCGGTTGAAGGCACATTACAGGAGCGTAACATCACTCCAGGTGCATGAAGTTAGCCATTATTTCACAAGGTTAGGCCACTTTGAGCTGATTTACTCCCAGGTAATATAAATCAAGCATAAGGTTTAAATAGTTTGTAGAAAGTGGCAATTATAAGTAAAAGTGAAGACTGAAATTATTTGGTCTTTGAAGTTCTGAAGAAAAAACCAAAACAAAACAGAGAATATGCAAGCAAAATGGTGTGACTGCAGGTAACCGCTTCCTGAGCCACAATAAATACCTCAGGGAATTTCTCTCACTGCTGGCCCTGGCCACCAGGAAACCCCGGGCTAATGTGAGTGTTCGCATGCTAAGTCCTGGCCTAGTGTTTGTGATGTATTTTTAACATTCCTAATCGCTATTTCAGTTTCTCTGGTGTTTTAAAACTGTAAGCCATCAAGATGTCCTCTTGGAAGAAGGAAGGATGAAAATTAAAAAAAAAAAATCCATGGCTTCTCGTTTAAAAGCGCTGTCTGCTCTTCCATAGGACTCAGGTTCAGTTCCCAGCACCCGCACGGCCGCTCACAACCAGCTGTAACTCCACGTCTAGGGCATCCAACACCTCTTCTGGTCTCTGCAGGCACCAGACACGCACATGTAGCACAACACAGAGGCAAAACACGCACACACGTAAAATAAAATTAAAATCAAGAAAATATTTGGGCTGGAGAGATGGCTCAGCAGTTAGGAACACCGACTGCTCTTCCAGAGGACCCAGGTTCAATTCTTAGCACCCACATGGCAGATCACAACTGTCTGTAACTTTCTGTGACTTTGAGGCCAGTCTTGTCTACAAAGCGAGTTCCAAGACAGCCAGAGCTACATTGAGAAACCCTGTCTTAAAGAAAGAAAGAAAGAGAGAGAGAGAGAGAGAGAGAGAGAGAGAGAGAGAGAGAGAGAGAGAGAAAGGAAGAAAGAAAGAAACAGCTAATGCTAGACATGATTGTGCACACCTTTAATCCCAGCACTTGGGAGGCAGAAGAAGCAGGTGAATCTCTGTGAGTTCAAGGCCAGCCTGGTCTACAGAGTGAGAATCTATCTCAAAAAAGAAATAAGGAAAGTAAAGGTAGGGGAGATGTCTTAGTAGTTAAAGGCACCTGCCACCAAACCGGAGGACCCAGTTTGATGCCCAAGATTCATATTCATTCTCATTCTCATTCTCATTCTCATTCTCATTCTCTCTCTCTCTCTCTCTCTCTCTCCCTCTCTCTCTCTCTCTCTCTCTCTCTCTCTCTCTCTCTCTCACACACACACACACACACACACATACACACACACACACACTCACACAAACTAATAATAATAATAACAACAATATTTTTTTAAAAAAACGGGCAATTTGACAGGCATATCATGTCTTTTTTGCAAAAGAGCAGGGGCCTCTGACCTCCCCAGCCAGGGGCTTTTGACCACATTCACAGTATCAGGCATGAATGCTGTCCTCTGAGGAAGGTACCAAGTCCAACCTGAAACGGAAGCCACCCTCTGTCTTAGCAGTAGGAGGGACTCCCTCGCTGAGGGATGCTGTGCGGTTAAAGTTTGATGGGGGGGGGGGGGGGACATTTTCTTCAGTTGTGTAGTCACTGTAAATCAACACTCATCCACACCTCTGTGAATAACCCTAATGAAACTCAATGGGACACACACATACACACATGCATAAACAAAAACAAACCTTAAAAAAGGAGAGTAGATGTGAGTATCTGGAAAGAGGAAGAGGGTCAACAGAAGTGGGAGGCGACAGGATGGGAGAGTATGGGGGAATTCAATCAAACACATTATGTGCACATATGAAAACACGTAATGCAACTCATTGTTATGTATAGTTAATATATATTAATAAAAGCTGCTCTTTTGCTGGGCGGTGGCGGCGCACGCCTTTAATCCCAGCACTCGGGAGGCAGAGGCCGGCGGATCTCTATGAGTTTGAGGCCAGCCTGGTCTACAGAGCGAGTTCCAGGAAAGGCACCAAAACTGCACAGAGAAACCCTGTTCTGAAAAACCAAAAAAAAAAAAAAAAAAGCTGCTTTTTAATATAAAATCTCACTGTGTGGCCCTGGCTGGCCTGGAACTCATTATGTAGACAAAGACAGCCTGGAACTCTTTGAGATCTGCCTGCTTCTGCCTCCCAAGTACTGGGATTAAAAGCATGTACCACTACACTTATTTTGTTGTTATTGTTTTCTTTAATATAAAAACATTTTTTGAAAGGCTATCAGGTAGGGGCTGCAGAGATAGTCGAGAGCACCAGCTGCTCTTCCAGAGGACCTAGTTTTCCATTCCTAGCACCAACATGGTGGCTGACAGCCATCTGTGACTCCAGTTCCAAGGGATCTGGCCAGGCCTCTTTCTAGACTCAGTGGGCACTGCACGCACGTGGTACAGACATACATGTAGGCAAAACACCCATGTATTTATGAAATGGAGGCCATCAAAGGTCTGTGAGCGGGATTGAGAGTGGTCTTTTTTTTTTTTTTTGGTTTTTCGAGACAGGGTTTCTCTGTGTAGCTTTGCGCCTTTCCTGGAACTCACGTTGTAGACCAGGCTGGCCTCGAACTCACAGAGATCCGCCTGGCTCTGCCTCCCGAGTGCTGGGATTAAAGGCGTGCGCCACCATCCGCCCAGAGTGGTCTCATATAAGGCACTCTGGTCCCTCTCCGAGCCTAAGCTGTTGTTTGTGTAAAAGGGAGCTAATTCTACAGGCCGCATCCCCGCGGCATTCCGGGGCTCAGAGAGCCTGAGCTCAGGCAGTGTGGCCTGCAGCAAGTGTGTCAGCAGCAGCAGAGCAGCTGTCCCAGCCCCTTCGGAGGGCTGTGTCTCCGGAACACCTGTCACTGTCACTTCAACTCCGTGGCAGGACCAGATGGGACATCCAGAGCAAAACGGAGGCTTTGCAATTTTATTTTAAAATTTTCTTGTAGCAGCCATTTCAGGTCTGTATTTAATATCATTTTACTTGGTTTAGAAAGAAATAGGGACTATGGGGGAAGGAACAGCTGCCGGAAATGAGGACATGGCAAGAATATCAACTCTTACATCAAGTGCCCAGAAAGCGTATACGCACATGCGTATAAGTATGCATGATGATGATGATGATGATGATGATGATGATGATGATGTGTGTGTGTGTGTGTGTGTGTGTGTGTGTGTGTGTGTGTGAGAGTTTGGGGTGAGTGTGACTGTATATATGGGTGCATGTTGGGGCAGGGGTATAAGGAAAGGCATTCCATTCAAACTGCTGGCCTAGTTGCCTGTCCTATCTCTCTGCAGATGGCAAGGTCAAGCCACAGACAGCAAGCCCCAGGTCCTCTCAGAACAGGCTGCCTCCCACAGCAGCAGCAAACCTCCACGGACACGCCCCCCCTGCCAGCCCAGGAGCCTTACCGGGCTGAGCTGTCCCGGGAGCGCCGAAGCCATCTTGTAACCATTTGTTCTATTCTGTGTGCTCTCCGAGTCTGGGATAAACTGCCCTCCAGCTCTTCCATTTACCTAAATGGTATGAACGAAAGAAGAGTGTTCTTAGGACACGAACCCAAACCTGGTCCAGGACTCTGCCACATCCATGTGATGCTTCCTATGCCCGCCCAGCTGAAAGCCCACTGAACAAATAACTAGTTCCCCTTCTAGCCCAGATCTTCACAGTCCACAGAGCAAACATTTCAGCATCCCCTGTCTGAGCCCAGGCTTGTGGCAAACAGAATGCCTTTACATCTCACACCTAAGGATGGTGGAATTCAAATAGGTAAGGTTTCACTGCTGACTTGCCACCAGGACCTGCCAGCATGTGACAACATTCCTTCCAGATTTTTTTTTTTTCTTGTTTTTGTTACTTTGAGATTAAGGGCTTGCTATGTGCCTAGGCTGGTCTTGAACTCATGAACCTCCTGCCTCAGCCTCCAAATGCTGGATTTACAGGTATGCACCATCACACCTGACAGGACAGAATCCCCCCCTTTTTTTGGGGGGAGGTTCGAGACAGGTTTTCTCTGTGTAGTTTTGGTGCCTGTCCTGGCTCTCGCTCTGTAGACCAGGCTGGCCTCGAACTCACAGAGATCCGTCTGGCTCTGCCTCCCGAGTGTGCTGGGATTAAAGGCGTGCGCCACCACTGCCCGGCTTCTTCTTTTTTTGAAGATTTGTTTCACCTTATCTGCAGGGTGTCTTGCCTCCCTGTTACATACACAATCTATGCATGCCTTTGTGCCCAGGGAGGCCAGAAGACAGTGTTGAATCCACTGGAACTCAAGTTACAGATGGCTGTGAGCTGCCCATGTGGGAGCTGGGAATCAAACCCAAGTACTCTGGAAGAGCAGCCAGAGTTTTTCACTGAGATGCCTCTGTAGCCCAGGACAGCACTCTTAGTCATATGACTGGTATATTCTTCTGAATACGGGTTTTTGCTCAATGTTTTATACTTAATTTTTAAATAGCTAATTTACCCGCATAATTCCATACCAGCTTATAAAAAAGATGTAAAGGCTTTGTATTGTGAGCTAAAAATCGTGTGACGAGATGGGGAATGATGTAGCTCAGTTGGTAGGGTGCTTGCTTGGCATTCAAAGAACCCTGGGTTTCATTCCCAGCACCTCATAAACTGGGCATGATGGTGCAATCTTGTAATCCCAGGACGCAGAATGTGGAGGCAGGGGGATCAGAAGTAGGTTTTCTTCAACTATATGGCAAGTTTCAGGATGTGAGACCCTGTCTTAGAAACAGTTTGCTAAGAAGGTACCCTTAAGTCTTCTTACCATGGTAAAAATGAATACTTATACAGTATGTGGCCCCTTCTGTCCAGCTCCTGGGCCCATACTATTCTCTTTCCTTTTGAGTTTCTCTATGCCTGGGCAAGTAAATACAAACCAAGATTTTATACTTCTTTTCATTGCAAAAGGGGCACATCATATGCATTGCTCTGCACCAGGTTTTTCTCTTCTCTTTTGAATACATATCCTTGATATCTTTCTATATCAGTACATAGAATCATTCTTCATTCTTTTGGCTAACTGATTATTCCATTATATCTAGATTACAGTACGGTACTGTAATCTAAAAAGTAGTCTTCTGTTGATAGACATTTGGGTTATTGCCAGTCTTCTGCTATTATAAACAATACTCAATGAGTTACATAGTATATACATCATTTCTGCATGTATACAGTTGTATATCTGGATAGATTCACTAGTGATAGGTCAAAAGCTACATGCATCTGTGCTTTGATAGATGTTGTCAGATCACCAAGAAAAGAGATATATTTCAAGATTAATGTTTCATAAATCAATGTATATTGATATTTCTATTGTCTAATCCATTTCACTTTTTAAAAACACTGGTCTCAATTCACCAAAGTAATTTCATCATAACCCAATAAATAACCACACAAAATAAAAATACAATAGTGGAAAATAAAATTGGATACAAAGCAAATAAAAACAAATTATAGGCCATTATGCTGTTTAGCACCATACAATTGCTCAAGAAAACCTTGGAGACAGGAGGTATTTGTTTTCTATACAGGGTTTCTTTGTGCTGCCTTGTCTGTCCTGGAACTCACTTTATAGACCAGACTGGCCTCGACCTCACAGAGATCCACCTGCCTCTGCCTCCTGAGTGCTGGATTAAAGTCATGTGCCACCACCACCTGGCTGACAAGGAGAATTATTAAGAAAAATAAAAGCCATCTAAGATGACCCCAGAAAGGGCAGGAAATCTAAAACACCATTTACCACATAGATTTGCTAAAGGGCTTCACTCTGCCTCCCTCCCCGAACAGACAGCAAGGGCAGGTTCAAAGGTGAGTTTTACACATCTGTAAGATGGGGTTTTGTTCTATGTCAGCTTTTTATTTTTGAGGGCTGGGAATGTAGCTCAGTCGGGAGGCTGCTTGCCTAACATGCCTGAGGCCTTCAGCTCAATCCCACATAAATCGGGTGTGGTGGGTGGCGCATGCCTAGAATCGTAAGTTCAGGTGCAAAATCATCCTCAGCTATGCAGTAAGTTTAAGGCCTAACAGGGCAACATAATACCCTGTCTCAAAATGCATGCACACACATCCCGAACAGAAACTTCCTTTTTTATTTAGGAATACTTTGGGGTGTCTAAAACATTGCAAAGATAACACAGAGTTGCCAAACTTCCCTGCCCTCAGCTTTCTGGAAATAACATCTTACATAATCTTTAATATTTTCTTTTTTTTTTTTTTTTTTTTTTTGCAAAATTAAGACATTAACATCAGCACAATACTATTAACCAAACTGCAGGCAATATTAAAATCTCACCAGTTTCCCCAGTGTCCCTTTTCTGTTCCAGGACCCAAAGCAGGATTATTTGCATTTAGCCATTTTACTTTTCCCCAGTGCTATTTTGCATAAGAAAGTTTCCAGTTGGTAGGGCCAGCATGATACAAGCACCAGTTCTGACAAAAACGGTGCTGTGCGGTGAAAGAGCAGCCTTCCCTATGACTAAAGAAAAGTGAATAGTCTGAAAAATGATGATCAAGGGCCGGGTGGTGGTGGCACATGCTTCTGATCCCAGCAGAGGCAGGCAGATCTCTGAGTTTGAGGCCCGCTGGTCTACAGAGTGAGTTGCAGGACAGCCAGAGTTACACAGAGAAATGCTGTCTCGAAAACTAAATCATCGTCATCATCATCATCAATCAAAAAGAATCCAGAGGCAACCCAGAGTGACAGTGGGGCACCTCCCAGAGGTGCAGGGGGAGAGGATTGCCAAGGCACATCCAAATGAGCACAGGATACCCCCAAACCAAATGCCTTGAAAACCTGGAAGCATATGCTTTTCAATAAATGGAAGCAAATACAAACTAATGAACAAAAGGTGAACACAGACATACATACAATAAAACATAAATTCTAGGCTCTGTGATCCTCCACATTCCAGAGACAACTACATCTTCTTGTGACATACTAACTCAGACATGATAGTGAAGGTCAGAGGAAACAGATTTGGCTGTATTGGACACCCTGTCAGCACAGCTGCCCTCAACTCTGGCAAAGTGCATATTGTTGCCATCAATGGCCCCTTCATTGACCTCAGTGGGTAAAGTGCTTGCCATATATGGACAGAAGCTTAGCTCTCCAAACCCCACATACATGCCTGGTGGGTGTAGCAGCCTGCTTGTAACTCCAGCCTTAGAAGGCAGAGGCAGGGGATCCTTGGTGTGAGTTGGCTAGACTAGACAAGCTTGGTGAACTCTGGCTTCAACTGAGAGTCTATCTACATCTCCATGAAAAGGGGAAAAGTGATGAAAGCTGATACCAGCACACACCTACACATACATGTGCCCTCACACTCGAAAACACACACACATATAATTACAAAGAATAACAGTAAAAAGCCCCCATAGGCTCACATGTTGTGGAATATTATGTTAAGATGTGTTACATTTGTTTATGCTGTGGAATACTTGTTTAATGATGCAAAGATGTGTTGCAGTCTCTTTTGTTGCATTTGTTTAATTCTGTAAAGCTGTGTTACTTTGGCTGCCTAAAACACCTGATTGGTCTAATAAAGAGGTGAACGGCCAATAGTGAGGCAGGAGAAAGGACAGGTAGAGCTGGCAGGCAGAGAGAATAAATACGAGAAGAAATCTAGGCTCAAGAGAAAGGAGAGTGAGAGGCCAGTCTGCCACGGAGTAAGAAGGAAAGAAAGATATATGGAATAAAGAGAGGTTAAAAAGCCCAGAGGCAAAACGTAGTGAAAGAGAGATGGGATAATTTAAGTTAGAAAAGCTGGCTGGAAACAAACCAAGCTAAGGCCAGCCATTCATAAATAAGTCTCCATGTATTTATTTGGGAGCTGGGAGGTGGGCCCCCAAAGAGTAAAAAAAACAGCAAACAAACAAACAAAAAACCACAACATTTATATTTGAATCTTTAGTCATCAGGAAGTGGCACTACTTAAGAAGGACTAGGAGGTGTGGCCTTGTTGGAGGAAGTGTGTCACTGGGGGAGGGCTTTGAGGTTTCAAAAGCTCAAGCCAGGCCTAGTATCACTTTCTTCCTACTGCCTGCAGATCCAGATGTAAAACGCTCAGCTACGCCTCCAGCACCATGTCTGCCTGCATGCCACCATGCACCCTACCATGACAACAATGGACTGAACCTCTAAAACTGTAAGCAGCCCCACTTAAATGCTGCCTTTTATAAGAGTTGCCATGGTCACAATGTCTCAATTCAATAGTTTTTCCCAAAGAACTAAAATTTCCAGATTGAGACTATCTACCTCAGCAAAGGCAGCTGATCACGCCTGTGAGAGCTATTGGAGATGCAGAGCGAGAGGATCATGAGTTTGAGGCCAGCCTCATCTATACAGGGAGACCCTCTCCTCACCTCACCCCCAAACCCATCCTGTACAATGAATGAAGAAAACTGCAGGGAACAACACTGTAACTTTTTATTTTATTTTATCTTTTGACAGGGTGCCACTATGTAGCCCTGGCTGTCCTGGAATGCACTATCTAGACCAGGCTGGCCTTGA